TTTTTTTTTTTTTTTAATTTAAAATCAAATGTATTTTACATCTTAAATTTCTAAAAGCATTTTTATAATTTAATAAGCTTTTTCTTAAGATTTCATATACGAGTTTTTACAATTTGTATTTGAAATTTCTCAGTGCTATGTAAAGAGTAATAGCAAAGTATTGATTATTTAAAATCATGTTTACAAGATTAATCAGACCCTATATTTTAGAAAAATCTCATCTAAATTCTCCCAGCTTAAAAAAAAATAAAATGAGAAAACCAATTATTTTTCATTGAGGATGCTAATTAACAGTGCCAAACTAAGTCTTGCAAGAAAATAGAAATGTCTTTGAATAGTAGACTGGCCCATATCTCTGCTGGTACTGACAAAATTATTTTTTGACATGCTAGCCTGAATAAACCAAAGTTTTGGTTTTGTATACTATTGTAATTGCCAATGAAGTTTACATTCTACTAGGTTAAAAAATAATGGAACATGAGCCTATGTCGTAGCACTTAGACATTTTCTCTTTTAAAAGTTGTGCTTCTTTATAAAACATGTAGGAGAGCCCTCCCCTTCTAAACTAAGCCTCATACATGTAGTACAATGATATTTTTAATAACATTTTTACCAGCATGAACAAGTCAAAATATTTTAAAACTTGGTAACATATTAGTGAAGAATATTTTCTAAATGTTGTATTGCTGCTTGGTTTTCTGATATAGTATCTTCACTAATATGTGCTTGATGTAGTTTGGTTTTATCATGTCAGTGTAAAAACTGACTCAAGGTTAAAAACTGAAAAAAAAAAGATTGAAGATTAATCATACTTAAAACTCACATCAGCAATTCCATTTTCAGTTTACATATGCCAAAACTTATTCCATATCATATTTATAAGCATTCAGTGAGCAAAATTAATGTTCTGTTTTATATTGAACTTTGGGCTGGAAGGATAAATTGTGTCATTTATCATATTTAAAATAGTCAAACATAGTATAATGTCATATTTTCTGAAACTGTTGATTTTTTAATTACATGTAAAAATTCCAAGTAAAAGCTTGATTTGATAAATAAAATACTTAAAACCTGAAGGTTACAGATATTTTTGATGACTAAATCCTTATATTGATTTGCCAAAGGACAGTCTCTGTTAAAAGGTCTCTCATTTAAAAAAAAAAAAAGAGGGGGGACTGGTGTTTTAGTTTTGATTTATTTGTCTTGGTATGTTTTGGGTGTTTGTTTTTGTAAGATTTATTTTTATGTGAATGGTGATTTTGTCTGCAGGATGTCTGTACAGTACATGAGTGCCTTGTGCTTGCTAAGGCCAGAAGAGGGCATCAGATCTCTGGGAGTGGAGAAAAAAAAGTTGTGAGCTATTATGTGGGTGTTGGGAATAGAAACTGGGTCCTCTGGAAGACTGGCTGGTTGTCTTAACTATGTCTCTCCAGAGAGATTTCTTGCTACCTTCCAATAGCTGTGGACATAAGCCTGTAGCCTGTGAGGGGTATCTTTTCATCCTGGTTTGTGTAAATGTAAGTGATTAAAACTATGTTGTATATACTACTTTGTTGGTAATAAATACATATTTTTCCATATTTTGGTATAGGTTATTTAAAATGAGAGATTTTTAAGTACTTTAAATTTTCTTAAAAGTCATTTTTGTTTTCAGGATTACAAAAAAACTTTTCAGTGTCTGTTCAAGTGTCTGCCATTTAAGATGCAGTGTTTAATAGTCTATTTGTGTTCCAAAAGATAAAAATTTAGACTTCTGTCCATTTGCAGTGGAATTAGAATCCAATAGCAGTAAATACGGGAAAGGCTTGAAAACATGAAAGAAGCCAAGCTAGAAGCCAAGGATAACTGTGTTGAGACAGTAACTTTTCTAAAAACATGCTCAATCGTCATTGTTACCTTAGGATTTCGTACATTGAACCTTTTATTTTTTTTTTTAAGATTTTATTTATTATGTATACAACATTCTGCTTCCGTGAATATCTGCACACCAGAAGAGGGCACCAGATCTCATAATGGATGGTTATGAGCCACCGTGTGGTTGCTGGGAATTGAACTTAAGACCTCTGGAAGAGCAGTCAGTGCTCTTAACCTCTGAGACATCTCTCCAGCCCCCCCCCTTTTTTTAAAGATTTTATTTATTTCATTGAACCTTTTAAAATGTATCTTGAATCAAATTCTTTACCACTTACATTCAGCTATTTCCATGCTAGCAATATGAGGACATAGCTAATTCATAGTTTTAGATGAGAGTCATGTCTGTGAGTGAACCCTAGCATCATTGTTGGCACTATAAATCTTTCCTTCTGCTGCGTATGAAGTATTTTGTCTGAATTGAAGACAGGATTAGCATAGAGACTTTTCCATGTTAGTGATAATATTAGTTGTTCACAGGATCCAGATAGTGATGGACCTTGTGTAACAGATACAAGTATTTCGTATGCCATATTACTTTGATGAAATCTGAATGTGAGTAAGGTGACTGAACCTATTTATAATAGTTTGTCGTATTACTTTATAGCCAGCCATATATTTTAGGATAGCACATTACTAATAGAGTGTATATACTTGGGAGATTTGACTGTTGACAGTTTGAACTTTTTTGTTTTCTCTTATTTTTGTTTGTTTTTTTGTTTTTCGAGACTGGGTTTCTCTGTGTAATTTAGCCTGTCCTGAAACTTACTCTGTAGACCATGGTGGCTTGGAACTCAGAGATCCACCTGTCTCTGCTTACTAAGTGCTGGGATAAAAGGTGTGGGCCACCACTGCCCAGCAACAATTGAACTTTTTATTCCCAGTGCAACAATTGAAGGTGTGGAATTTTATTTTTTTCATTTTTCTCCTCCTTTTATTGTACAAATGTACATAATGTAAATTTTACTATTTTAAAATATATAATTCAGTGGCATGAAATACATCTACAATGTTGCACAATGATCATTCTTATTTATTACCCATTCGCTATAATCCTAGCATGTCACCTTGTATCTATTCAGACAGATTTAACATTTCCCTCTTTACCCCAGCCCTGGAAAATTCTTCTCATTTGTCTGATTTTTCATGGTAGCATTAAAAACCAGAATAACTGGTTTCATTATGATATTTTCATACATATGTGTCCTGTGCTGTGTTCCTATTCATTCCCCTCCCATGGCTTCATCCCCCCACACCCCACTTCCCTCTTCCTCGAAATAGTGCCCCTTTGCTTTCAAGTCGTATATGTTTTCCTTACCATCTTTTCCCCTGCCTCCTTTCAGAGCTCATGTTCTCCTTCCTAGTTTCATGAGCTACATACATGTATATGTCCACACACTAACATGTCAGCAGGAGAGGAAATGTAAATGTAAATGGGAGTTCTTTTTTCTTTTTTTTTTCTTTTTTTTTCCTTTTTTTTAGAGGAAGTCAAGGTTTATTTCTTGGAACAGGATTGATACACTGGACATACAGCACATTTGATACAAATCAACTGAAAACAGTAGCAGTGGGACTGAGAAGGCTTAGTGGTTAACAGCACTTGCTGCGTTTACACAGGACAAAGGTTCAATTCCATGCAGCCACAGGGCCAGATACAGAGGATCTGACACCATCTTCTGGCCCTGGCACTTCGTGCATGTCATGTGGTACCCAGACATACATGCAGGCAAAACACTCATACATATAAACTTTAAAAATAGCATTGTTATGACTGGAAAATACATGCACATGATTGAAGTAACCTTTGGCTGAGTGAATCTGTAGACATGGAAGATAGGGTGAGTAATCCTTTGATTCCCAACTTCCATTTCTTCGTGTTCTTCTTACTCTTCTATGCTTACTGTGATGTGCTCCCCCTCCAACTAATAACCTTTTTGAGTTTATTTTCTCTTTCTTTGATTTGAACTCTTGTTTCTAGGTCAGAGACTTGACAGTTCATGAAATCTTAGTGACCTGTAAATTTTTGTTCTCATGATTTTAAAACTATACCTGTGTCTATAGAGAGTGTTCTGACAGATGGTATAGTTGAGAGCCTCTTTTATTATTTATTTATTCGTAAATGGAGTTCTTAATTGGTCCAAATAATAAAAACCCGGAGTCAGATATAGAGGAAAATGCTGAGAGATCAGAGAGAAGAAGGAACAAGCCAAAGCCACCTTTAATTTATTCCCAGTGGAAAAGAGATTGAGTTCCTGTTTCTGCCCATGTATATCCTCTCTCTGCCCCCAGCCATCTCACTTCCTGTCTGTCTTTACAGACCTCCAGACCTCTATGGTTAGCTAGTGGCAAGCTCCATCTTCTGATCTTCAAACAAGCTTTATTTGTACAAGCAAGATATCACCACATCTTTCTACTTACTTTGCTTAGTGGGTGGGTTACAAAAGCCCAGGCTAGGCCTAATGTCTATGTCCTTGTCTGTCTTGTCTATCTCCTTCCCCTTCCTACCTGCCTCTTTTCCTGGATCAGGATGTAAAGATCTCAGCTACTA